TTGAAACTTTCAACCAGAGAGGGCTGCAAAGCACTGCTTTTCAGCCTGTGGTTATGTTACTCCTTAAACATGCAATGTTTTATTGCCTGGTAGTGAAGAGCAGCTGATAAACATTTTGGTATTTTGTAAAAAATAAAATCTACTCTTAGATATGTCTGCATTGTTCATTATTGTCAATCTGTGCTGTTCAATACCTCCCTGGACTCATTTTAAGTTGAAAGTTTGCAAATTAGTTATTTTTTTGTTTCCTTGACCAATATAATTTATTTATTTTTTAAATACTGATGTCCTATATTTCCCAGAATACAAAAAAAAAAAAAAAAAAAGAGCTACACATACTTTTACAAAACCTCTTTGAGATCTATTTTCTTTTCAACCAGGTGTCTTCAAACTTTTTTGGTGTCAAGGACCCTCAAAGGCTATATCTGATAAGGTGTAGTTTCAGGGACCCAGTCTCATAAAATTTAGTTAATTCATAAAAGACTAGACTGTAGATTGACAGATTAACAGTGTGAAACCTATTAACATAACAGTCATTATAATATATTTTCTCATTGGGCTAAATTTTAGTCAATTAAATAATATTGAAATTAAAATATTCCTGATTTCAGGGTGTTCAGATAGCTCACCTGGTAGAGTTGGTGCCACATCTACCAAAGCGTGTCATCCCCTCTCTCCCCCTTAAGAGTGGGGAACCACTGCTTTAAACCAACCCTAAATGTAAATCCTGAAAAACAATGTAAATAAAAGCATATTCAACCTAACTAAAAACATCTTTATTGTCAATTTATAACATCGTAGTATATCATTGGTACTGACTGCAGCATATGGATGTGAATTGCAGGTGCTCATACTGTAAGTACATATTTATAGGAGGTCAGTTATCTTCATGTACAGTTGTATAAAAGAACATATAAATGACAATTCTTCTATAAAAATCAATACAGGAGTCAGACTTCATAATCATAAAAGGTGCATGGAGTATCTATATAGAATGTCTGCAGCATAAAATCAGCAAATATATGGTTCACGCTTTAGTTGCAACTAGCAAATACCGGTAATACTTGTCATACTCCCTCAGTTAGTGTACTTTAATAACTGAGATGTTTGTATTTCTCTGTTTTATCGAGGCCTGAGATTCCAGATCTCTCATTTCCCTTCCCTTTTTGTTTCCTGGTAGTGTATTCCTGAGTGAAAAGTTGACAAGAGATTGCAGTGATGCAAAAGGTTGTGACAACATGTACATTACTCATTAGTGACCAGAGAATATTTCCCCCTCGTATGTGAGGAAGTGAGTGAAGTATAAAGTGAATGACAGGCTTAGCAACTTGAGTAATGCTGGTTTTTCCTTTGAGACAATCTTAACCACATTCTCTGGCACATCCTCACTTTCCATCTCCCTCTTAGTTTCAGTCCTTTTTAAGTCATGACATTTAAAAAAAAAAGTTTTCTCCCTTTCTGTGCTGAGCTCGGAAACATGCAGCATCAAGTCTTTCGCTCCTTTTAGATACATTCAGCAACAGTTCTGCATCCAAAACTGTACATCTTTGAAGTGTGACTGTATAAAAAGTAAAGGATCTGGTATTAAGGATACTGGATTCACGTTGTAGTTTTCATGGTCATCCTGTCAAAAGAGCCAGCCTTGTTGATCACAAAAAGATTTTAGATGATGGATTTGATTTGAGTTGCAGAGAAATCATACATCAAATGAAGATTTATTTAGTTTTGTCTCACAAACATCTCTGATTTGCCCGGCTCAGACTTTGATTTCATCCTCGTCGTCCATGTAACTGTAGGACATATTCTTCTTGGGCTGGCTGATGATCATCATATCTGAATCTGCAACCTCCATCCTGCTCTGTCCCTTTAAGAGGCTGACGCCATAGTGGCGTGCAAGCACATCTGTAGCACTCTGGAACCGCTCACTCTCCATCCCCTTCGGCAACCTCACTCGCTCAGGAGACCCCATCACCACATCAGGTACTTTAACAGAAAGCCCAACTCCGTTCACCTCCGTCATGCTCTCCTCCTCTTCCCATTCGGCCCCATGAGGGCTCTTCCTGCCCCCGCAGTCTTCCCTGAGCAGGGAATCCACGTATGAGATAGTTGCCGAGTCCATCTCTGATCCCTCATTGGTCAGCCCACACGCTGACCCGACCTCCTCTCCTTCCCAGGCGTGGACATGCTCTTCCGGGTGGCCGTCGATCAGGCCGAATACCTCGCTCATGAGAGAGGGGCCGAGGTCGAAGGTGAAGGTGTCCAGCGAGGTGAGGGAGGGAAGGGAGTCAGAGTAGGCGGTGGTGGGTTTGGTGTCAGAGGTCACAAGGGAGGTGGAGCAGGTGGACAAGATGGCATCTGTAGGGTCGGTCAGAGAGCCACGGTGGATGTTAGGGGAGCAGGAGGTGGGAAGAGAGATGGAGGGCTGCTGACGCTCAGAGCGGGAGAGACGAGGCAGAGTGACGAAACCAGACTCCAGACCTGAGGAGAGCACACAGACATCAAGACATGAAAACCAGTCTGAGGTATTTTGTCTAATAAGGGGTTTGTTTTATGAAAGCTAGACGAGAAGCTTGTTACCACTCTTGTATCTGTCCATGAAGTATAAAACTACCACCAGGTGATGCTTAGCTTAACTAAGCATAAAGACTGGAAACAGGGGGAAACATCATCTAAAGCTCATTTGTAAGTACAAAAAACAAAACGTGAAAAACAGCAAGTGGTTTTATGGAGAGTTATGTGCAAGAGCGCTGGCTCCCCTGGTTGCCTGGCAACTTAACATTGATGACAAAACCAAGAAATAGTCCCGCAACCTCCTGTAAATCCACAACCTTTACCACAGTTTTTGTGTATGTTAAACAAACAAGATGAAACATGTTAATCAGAGAGCTTTAGAGGTGCTAGTAGGCGGACTTCGGACAGAACCAGACTAGTTGATTCCTTTGCTTCCACTTTCAGTGTGCTAAGCTATGTTAAATAGCTACTGGCTGTAACTTCATATTTACCTTGCAGACATGAGGGTGGTACTGATTTTCTCATCTAACTAAACCCATAATGTCAAACTATTCTTTTAAGTGTGTATGGAGAGAAACAAAACCAGAAAGAAACACTTTGACTGACAGGCGTCCAGCTAATGTTACAATGCTTTCCATACAATTTATATGGTGTATCTTGTGGTGATTTTCACTTGTTTTCTATCCATCTATTATTCTGGAGGCACACGCTTCAAATAGATTATCACACAATTCCAGCAGGGGGCAGTGTGAACCCATCTGAACACACCCTGTCTAATGATGACAGCCAATAAACTCCAGCCTGTAAAGTGCTGAGTTGCTCTGTGAACGGTGAATCATCTGCTCGACCCTGCCAGATCGTTTAACAAGTCACACACTTACACTCCTGCTGCCTTCATGACCCCAACGGGTAAAATTACCACAGCACCTCTCAATGCCAGCCATAAAGGGCCAATAGTCTGGAGATGTTTCATACCAACCAAGGAAAACAGTGTCTGATTTCACAGATTAACACACTTTAACCAGAGAGCAAGAGAGACATAATCAGTGAAACCATCTTATGGAGGATTTGGTTGGATGAAGATCTGTCTCTCCCATCCATGTGTCATAAGGAATAATTACTGGGGAGTAAAGTAGCCTCAGCTGTCACTACAAAAGTAAACTGTGATTTTGTGGAAGATTTTAGATAAAAAATGTCTTTAACAGCACACACAAGCTCATATATCGACTTAAAAACATGGATAGATAGAATTTGGTACTTAAAATTACACTTACTGGATCATCTGAAGTGTAATCATATTTGAAGGATTAAAAACAAAGTTAAACGTCTGATCACTTTAAGATAATTTAGTTTCACATTTTGGGGAATTCTTAGATTTCTTAGTGAGAGATGACTCTTTGGGCTGGATTGAAAATAGTTTTCTATGTGGACTGCAATGATTTTGTAACGATATGACTCAAAGGTCATTTACGGGCTCCTTTCTTAAACTTTAATAAAGAATATTTATATGCACATTATAAACCAGTTCTAGTTGACATTCTCTCTTACTCTGTGCTGCTTGCCAGTTTTGCAAATCACAGTGCACTTTGTAGTGACACTAATATATTACCACAAGCACTTTTCTTAATAGTTTTAATATCGGATAACATAGATGCAGATACCAATACTGAGATGTCTGCAAAGAGCTAATATTGGTACCAATATATTCGTCTGGCTACTAAAACAACTAAAAAACCGAAAGGTAAAAAAAAAAACAAGTTGTGTGTTTGACTAGGGTTAGAGCTAGACTAGCTGTTTTCCTGTTCCCAAAGTTTATGCTAAGCTAAGCTAACCATCACCTGGCCGAGTGGTGTCAATCTTCTCATCTAGAAATAAGTTGACTTACCAAAAACTTTCTTTTTTACTGTCTCATGTGGAGAAGTAAGTGATAAAGTAACATTCAATACATTTTACTTTCCTCATTTACCAAACGCTTCAGACACACACACACACACACACACACACACACAGGGGTGGTCAGACTGTATGAGCCATGAGTGTGGTGTTAATGTGGGTCATTTAAACAGCCTCTCAAACAGCTTGTTGCCAGCTCTGTCTTGATCTCTGTGTGTTATCAGTGTGAGCAATGCTGATAATGAGCCAAGGTGATTTATAAGGACATCTGGGGCAAATCTGTCCAGATTACTGGGCAGTACTGATGGATGAGTTTCACAGCAGCTTTACAGATGCTGGCAACTTCTCTGCAGTTTCCAGCTGCTGGTTAACTCTTTTGACCTTTGCTCACGTGTTTCACTTTGTTTTGCAATGGTGGCATTTAATTTGAAGGAAACATCTACCCATAATCTTAGGGGCCATTTTGGGATTTGGTGGTGAACTTTTCCTAATCCTTGAATGTCTGGGCAAAAAATAGATGACATGACATCATCTGTTCATGTTTCCAGTACCTTTTTAAGTGATCCAAAACACTGATAATGTTATTCTCAGTTATACTCAGAATTAAAGAGCCAAAGATTATTTCAATAATTTTAAGGGGTGAAATTCATTGTAAAATACACAATTTAACACAAACAGAACCAAGATTACAGTGCCTCTTGTGTAACTTGTGTAACAACACTTTTTTTGCTACTGCTGTGCTATCCATCTACAAATACTAAATGCAACAAGTTCAGGCACCAATTGTAGTAGAAACAACCAGGTTAGTTGACTGAAATCTGCATTAATTGACTTTTTTGAGGCCCTTTGAGGCAGAGGAAATGAGCTGTGAACAGGTAGCGTACAGTAAGTTTATTCGAGCTGAACCGAAAACCAAAACAATTAG